CAGCTAAATAGTCAGTGCCACTATATAACCGGACGCCCCCCCCCCACCCCTCCCACTCTCTCTCTCTCTCTCCGCGGGGTCAGTGTATCCTTGCTATGCTTGGGAGCCTCTTGAAGAGTGCGAGCCAATGTAGATAGGCAGTTTCCGATAAGCGCAATCCGACGAGCTACCTATCGATTGACTGATTGATTGATTGATTTTATTATTAATGCCAGTGTTAGACCACTTTTGTTGCTCGGACGCCGCCACACAGAGCCGCGCGTCGATTGATAACGCGCGAACGCGATTCGCCTCGAGACTATATAACTGTACCGCTATTTTCGGTTATTGCGCTTTACGCGTGCCACGCCTCGCGCGAGCGCTCCGCTTTACACGCTTTAATCCGACAGCTGATGAAACAGCGCGCCGTACGATCAATCCTAATGAATTGATAAATAGCCTACGCGATCTCTATACGCGCAGTACTCTAAGCCGCAAAGATTAACTGTTCTCTCTTGCCTCCAGCGAACGCACCGATGTTTTTTTTTCGGTTTCGTTCGATAATTTTCTTTATCAATACTTGCTGCTCATTATTTCTGCGAGTGCTTGTCGTTCAATCCACTTTTCACGGAAAAATTCTGCATCTGAAAATTCTTTTCGTTGGAGATGACTTTATTGATTTTTTACAATTAAACATTGAGCCTCATAAATTACGCGAGGGCAGTGCGCGTATTGTGCTCCAACAAGCGCAGTTTCACAATGCAACCGCAAAAAAAGAAAAGAGAAAAGAACAATCGAAGGGATTCCACAGTGCGAAGATTAATTTATTATTCGCGTGCGGTATGCGAGATGTATAGCTGTAGATAATTACGGCCTCGAAACATTGTAATTCGTAGCGTCAAAACTTGTTACGGCAGCGCATATCAAACACCTCCGCGAAGCTACAAATAAGCAAGTGCACGCGAGTCTCGCTTCTTTGTTTGTTACAGCGGCAAAATTCAACACCTATCAGATCCCCTTTAACAAGTTTCAATCTCGCACTTTTAAAGCGTGCATCGAGTCCCTCGGTTGCGCGCGAACTAAAAATCAAGGCGTCGGTTTGACTTTATTTATTTTCGTTGTTGACGAAGCGAGAGCAGTGCGACGTAGCGTGCCTATCGACGCGCCATCGGCGTCTGTCCCTGATAGCTTATTTTTCGTTCTGCTCCTTTCTTCCCGCTGATTCGTCCTCGGCGCTGCGGCGGCTCCGGGACAACAACAGCTCCGTCTCGATCGGGCCCGATCTAGATTATTATATTACGACGCGCCGGCGGTGGCGAGAGCGATGAGACTGCGAGAAACAAACGCGCGTATCCCATTAACGCTCGCGCTCGATGACTGTACGAAAGTGCTGCCGATGGTGCGCTCGTTAGAAAGCGTTGATTTAATCGAATAGATTTGGCGCCGCGTATATGTGTGTGCGTCGGTCTCTCTCTCTCTCTCTTCGCAGCCTCGCGCTCCGTCCCTCTGCACGTGTGTGCCGGGCACCGATAATAACGTGAAATAAGAGAACTCCGCCGATTCCATTCCGCGAGCTCTGTTTATCGAACAAACTATTTGCCGCGAGCGAACGTGCGCGGCTAGATTCGAGAATGCTCAGCGCGCGGCCGGCCGGGGGATTACGCGGACCGACGGGAATTCGCTCTTTTTTTTCAGCTGTTTGCTCGGCCATTATCTCCGCTGCGACGGTTTGTTTTACATCCGTCCGCCTTGAGTCTGCGTCGCTCTCCATTTTTTTTTCTCTCTTCCATCGATTTCGCATTAATGCCGAATGACAATGCGTTCCCGTGGCTAATTTCAGTAGGCTTTATCGTGTCAGCCACTCAATTTACCGTACGATTCAAACGTCGAGGTCTCTGTCACTGGCGCTTTCGTCATTATAGAGCGCTCGGGAGCCGCGGTAAATTGATGACGCTCGTGCTACGCGGTCGCACTTTCACGGGCGATCGATCGCCACGGAAGCCGAATCAATAAGCCTATGGCTTTGATTCACGAGATCGCGCGGGTATGCGTGGCTCGTAGCTGGCGATGCCGCGCAGCCAGCCGGAAATTCCGTTAATCCGCGCTGGCGCGACAGGCCGCGTTTTTCTCGCGCCCGAAAGCCTCCGCGCCGCGGCGATTTCGACAGCGGATAGTATTAACGAGCTGCCGTGGCCAAGAAGATGTAGAGGCGACGATCGAGCCAAGCAAGTGGCTTCCACTGACCGCGCGCGAGCATTGCGTAACGTCGACTCGCGTACGCAAATGGCCGAGTTGTAGAGCCGAGTTGCGGAGCGGTGCGCGCTGATAAGCGAGTAGACGAATACTCCCCCTTCCCCCTTATTAAATTGCGCGCACGCTCAGCGCTTATCACGCCCTCGAACCGCCTGTCTTCGTGTGTCGAGTAGGAAATATCATGCGAGCTTGTTGAAGCTTTCTTTCTCCTCTGGAGTGCCCCGTTGCTCAAGTGCGCTTTTTGCCGAGCATTCATGCAATGATCCTTCCAAATAGAGCCCTTTTTGCCGAGGGAATCAGGTCGTGTGTATATACATACATATGTGCATAAGGTTATTGACTCCGAAGGAACATGTGCATGAATTTTTTATCTCGACAATGAAAGGAAATACGTGTAACGTGCAGGCGATATACAGGCATACTTTGTGCGCTATAAGTTTTATCAAATATGCACGAGGTGCAGAACAAAGAAAGCACAGGGCGTGCTGGCGCGACGTGTATCGCGTTCAAGCTCTATTTTTAAATAAAAATTACTTTTCTCGTCCGCAGCTTTTAGCTAGCAGAGCCGCTCGCGCCTGCCACTAACCATTGACCTCCCGAACATTCTTTTCAGAATGAACATCAACGAGGAAGAAGGAAAAAACATCCTCGAGTGCGCACTTAAAGTTTCGCCGACTCTCGAAATAAAGAGAATTTCAGCGAGGCGGGGGGGGGGGGCGCAGAGCGAGGGCAAAAACTGGGGCTAATTAAGAACAAAGTATAAAGTAACGATTCTTCGTCGGCCCAGAGAAAAAACAAATCCCGGCCCCGCGGTCGGAATAAGTTTGCCGTGCGCGCGGCGATCTCAATAGCGGATTCGTCAAATGCAACTGCGTCGGGGAGGGGAAAACTTTCTGCCCCTCGTCGGGATATTCGCGTCAATGTCGAGAAGATCGGCGAAAGTAGGAAATAAGGCTCGACTCGCGCGGGCGACCGGCTGCTCGCGAACTTGCAGCCCCGCCGCAGGAACAAACTTTATTCGACTGCGAGAGAGACCGAAACAATCCTCGGGTAAAGTTTGCGCCTTTCTATATATATATATATATATATATATATATATATATATATATATATATTCTTAGCGCACGAATCAGAGGGAGGTAGATTGCTCAAGGAAATAAGCCTTGGTCAGAGGGAATCTGGACTTTAAAACTGCTGATATAGGGGTGGTGGCTCCGAACCGTACGCGGGAATTTCTGCGAGCTGTGCGCGGCTTTCGATTAATTTGGCGAGTTCGACAAAGGCACACGAACGCTGCATGTAGCTGCCGAAGAAAAGCCAGCGAGTAAAGAAACTTTTCTCTCCCCTTGGATTTCCGACTACGAGGGAATAATTGACTCTGGCTGTGCTCCTGCTACTCCTACTCCCTCTCCTTCCCTCACTTTTCAACAATTAATTTTTCTTCCAGACTACTTTTTTCCATTGCCTGCGTGACTGCTCCAACTCTACGTACCACGTAAGTATCCATCTTCTTTTTACCTTTTTAATGGCATTTGTCTATCCCTCGTCGATCGAGTTTGCTAGAGCAATCAAATCAGTGCCGCTAATCGATTGCTGGCTTTAGTAACGTACTCTAGATTTTCTATTTATTCGTTCTAACCTGCTGTGAAATACTTTGTAACGACGAAACGCAATCGAACAAAGTAAAAAAAAAACTCTATCCTCTGTTTGTAAAGAGACTTTAATTTTAAATACACCCATACAACGTGGTTCAACATCGAAGCAACTATCTTTTCTCCAAATTCTCTTTTTTAAGCGAAAGCAAACATTCCTAATTACGCACTTCTCGTTCAGATTTCCCCAACTAATTTGGTGTTTAAAAAAAAAATTTCCTTCTCTGCTCGGGAGTTTCAATTAAAAAACCTTCATTTAAAGACTTCTTTTCACTCAATCCCGAATGACCAGATGTATTTAAATCGAAAATTTTGCTCCACTTTCAGAATGCAAACAAAATGCATTATGCATATGAAATATACTGACAGAAGTTTGTATAAATTACATATATTTTTTAATTTTGGGACACGTACATAATTTTGATTTCAACATCGAGCAGACAACTCCTTTATTTTGTTTTATTTTATTTTTTCGTAGCGAAAGTTTAAGCTTAAATTGTTGCGTCACTGTCATTGCAGAGACAGAAAACAAATACGCGCGTAACATAACGTGCGTGCTCGGTATGTAATATAGCACACAGATAATATATAAAGCGGACTGACAAGGATAATGGAAAGAGAAAGGAAGTCAAAAAGTTCAGTAAAGAGTCGTCTTTTTTAATATAACAAATTGCTTTTATTCATTCAGTGACTCGCTGACACATTGGACAGCCAAGAAAATTGTAGTTTGAATTTATAATAATTAATATATTACAACACAGATCATTCACAGTCGCACGCTTTGATCGGCAGTGTGTTTATTTACAAAAGATTTTGAATAATCGAACGTAATTTGCATTCGTCGCTTGCAATTTATCGAACGAAATATAAAATGAAAATGCGGTATTAATTACCATCGAGTTGGCGCAGCTCTTTGTTTTACCTAACTATGTATAATATATATATATATAGAATTAACGTAAAAAGTCGCCGAATCCTCGAAATCGGGAGGAACGCACGTCTAGTTTGTCAATTAGAATTCGTATTTACAATAGTCAATATACTGATTTCTTGCTTTAAATATAATATAATACAGTATACATTATTTACAGAGAACGGAATGATGACTTACGGGTCTAGTAAGCGTGAAGTAACGAGCGCCTCTAGAGATAAAGGACTCTGGTCGATCGTGGTCGACCGGATGGTGTTTGTATAGCATGTGTGGAACTGTGTGTGCTTGTGCGCGCGTGAGAGATACACGGACACGCTGGGCGCTACACGATAGTCTTAGGAACGAGAGATCTCGCGCTTGATTCGCCGCTTTAATGATTATTCGATCTTGATTTGGCGCGACATTAAAAGTGAGAGAATAAAAAAAAAGACAGAATTATAGGATTACGCTGGCGCGAGGCTGTGTTCGCTTACGGGAGCAAACAACAAGAAGAAAAAAATGGGGCGACGAGCAAGCGACGAGAGGACGAAACAAAAATAGCGTTACACGGCCCTTGTGCCTGCAGGCTCCGGAGAGTAACACACAGTCTTGTTTCTACAATGATATGCGAGAACCCGAGGAATGCATTCGAGCAGCGCGTCACGTTTAATAGTATCAACGAGAGAGCGATGATGACTCGACAAAACGACGTGAAAGTTCGTAACGAGAGGATCCACCTCTCTCTCTCTCTCTTCCTCCTTCGCCTCGTACGTTTAAACGCTTATGGTTCTGATTTTCGAGGAGCCTGCTCTCGTGGAAATGGCACGGTTCTCGCCTTCGAGAATAAAAAGAAGACTTTTAGACAGAAACAAAAAAGTGTAGAACGGCGCAATCCTTCGCGAAGTAATAAATACATAATCGTCGATGCCTATATGAAACTTCACAACTTTCTTCGTTCAATCGCGTTTCGTTATCTATATATTTACAAAGTCCTTCTCTTAATTTCTTTCGCAACAACAGTCTTAAAAAAGAGTTCGTAGTTCCGAGGGCCCCGCGAACGACCTACCGCAAAACGTTTGCGACTTGCGTATCGCCGACACACTTTCTCTCTGCCTAGATCGCGTTTTAATCGTTAAGCTGGCAATTATAAATAAATAAGGAGTCGCGCACGCGGAAAAAAACAATCACTGGCGTTGCCTAAACGAAATAAGTACGCGGACCCATGGGCATTTGATGGGCATTGCCGTAGGGACTAGTCTGCACGATTTCCGGGATGGTGCTGTAGAGGTGACTGCTTCTGGACGTGACGCTGGGGGGCCGCTGGCTGGTAGCCGAGGCAAGCTCGGGATGCAGCGCGCTGTATCCGGCAGTCTGGTGGTGCTCCAGCTGCATGGCGAGCTGCTGATTGTGCAGCTGCAGTTGCTGCTGCTGCTGCTGTTGCTGCTGCTGCATGTGGTGGTGGTGGTGATGGTGGTGGTGATGGTGCTGCTCGTGGCCGCTGTCCTCGTCCTCGGTGCGGCTCGACGCCGAGCTCACGTAAGTGGACTGCGTCGGTGTCGGCGTCGGCGCGTGCAAGGGCGCGACGAGGACGCTGCTGGCGGCGGCGCTGCTGCAGCCGCTGCTGCTCTGCACTACCGTCGAGGGCGGGGCGGGAATGGTGGCCGGCGGCGCGACCGGCGGCTTGCTCGACCAGGCGTCGACGACGACCGACGGCGCCGCCGAGTACCTCGCCGGGATGGCGCTGCTGGCGTGGCCGGCGCTCTTACCCGGCCGCTTGCCGCTATCCGCCGAGTCGGGCATGTGGAAGCGCAGCTTCTCCCAGAAGCGCTTGTCGCCCCACACGATGACCGTGCAGGTCTGCAGCAGCAGCTGCAGCTCGGGATCCGGGGCTGGGATCTCGGTGGCCAGCAGAACGATGACTCGGCGCCTGCGCGAGGCCGGGCGGATGGTGTCGAGGGCGGCGCGCAGCGCCGCCCTGAACTCCGGCTGCTGCCACTCGTTGGCGAGGAACAGCGGCGACAGGGCGATGACGATGCGCCTGGCGGCCGAGGCCGCGGGCAGCAGCGAGTCCTGCGACCTGGTGGGTGGCAAGTCCCGCCAGTGTAGACACAAGGCCAGGCCCGACTGCTCGAGCTCCGGCGCGAGGTAGCGCGAGATGAACTCGTCGTCGCGCTCGTGGTAGACGAAGTAGCCGTCGTAGAGCCGGTCGCGCTCCTCCTCCGGCGGGCTGGAGGACATCTTGCCGAGGCGAAGCCCGTAGCGAGCGTGCGCCCACAGCCGCACGTCCTGGCGGAAGGCGAAGCCCAGCGCGATCACCAGGCAGACGGCGATGACGACGACGAGGGCGGCGGCGAGGAGCGGCACGAAGTTGCCGCCGATGATGGCCGGATTGTGGATGCCGATGCTGACGGCCTCGGTCGACGGGTCGCCGCAGCGCTCGATCGCCTGGGCGATGGTCTCCACGCCGCCGTGGCAGTACATGCGGTCGGCCGCGTCGGCCAGGTGCTCGGACAGCCAGGCGCGTAGCCGAGCGGCGTTGCTGCAGTCGCAGCTCCAGGAGTTGCCCTCGAGGGAGACGCTCGCCTCGCGACTGGCCACCGCTTCCCACGGCTTGAAGTCGACGATGCGGTTGTTGTCGAGCCGCAGCACCTCCAGGCTCTTCATTTTGCGGAACGTCGTGTTGGCCACCGCGGCGATCGCGTTGTGGTCGAGGTAGAGCTCGCGCAGCTGCTCCAGCTGGTCGAACTCGAAGCCCTTGAGCTCGCGCAGAGCGTTCTGCTCGAGATGCAGCACCCTGAGCGACTCGGCGCCGTTGAAGGTGCGGTTGTGCAGGCCCGAGATGCCGCTGTTGTTGAGGAACAGCACCTCGAGCTTGCGCTTGCCGATGAAGACGTGGCTGCCGAGGTCGCCGAGGTCGTTGCCGTCGAGATATATCTCCGTGGCGTCCATCGGGATGCGCTCGGGCACGAATCGATAGCCGGCGTTGGAGCAGTCGACGACGTTGCTCGACCAGCTGTGGTCGTGGTAGCACGAGCAGTTGTCCGGGCAGGTCATCTCGCAGTCGCAGGCGTCGAAGTCGCAGCAGTGACAGATGGCGAAGCAGTGGCTCTGGTAGCGGCACGCGAAGTCCTTGGACTTCAAGGAGAGCAGCGGACGCTTGGGCGCCGCCCTCGCGTGCACCATGTCGCAGGTCACGGCGTCGAGGTCCATCACTCGCGGATGCTGGCGCATGCGCGAGAGCTCGTTTATCCGCGGCAGCCACTCCATCGTGCAGTCGCACAGAATCGGGTTGTTGCCGATGTAGAACATCGGCAGATCGCGGTCGCTCGGCACCGGCTGCAGCTCGACGGCCGCCACGTCCAGGTGCTGCATGTCGTTCCCGTACAGCACGACCTTCTTCAGGGCGGTCTTACGCATAAAGGTACCTGGCGCGATCGTGCGAATGCGATTGTTGTTCAGGTAGAGCTTCTCCACGCTGTTGGGCACGGAGCTCTCGGAGATCTCCTCGATGCGATTGAAGCTCGCGTCCAGCTTCTTGATGCGCAGCTCCTCGCGGCCGTCGCCGGAGAAGTCGCTGCCTAGGTCGCTGATCTGATTGGAGTGCATGTCCAGCCACTCGAGGCTCTGCGGCAGGTCGCCGTAATTGAACCACAGCAGCTTGTTGTCCGAGATGTTGAGCATGAGCAGCGAGGGCAGGTTGCGGAACACCCCGTGAATCTCGGTCAGCTGGTTGCCGTCCAGCCTGATGGCGATGAGCAAGTTGTTCTTGAAGAAGGCGCCCTGCTCCACGTGCCTGATGGCGTTGCTGGCCAGGTTGAGGATCTGCAGCGCGGGCATGTTGGAGAAGGCCTTGCGCGAGATGTTCTCGAGCTTGTTGTCGACCAGCCGCAGCCCCGACAGCTTGTCGAGCCCGGCGAAGCTCTCGTGATTGACGTTGGCGATCTTGTTGTTGCCGAGGTCGAGGGTCTTGAGGTTGCGCAGGGCGCGCACCGCCGTCGGCACCTCGCTCAGCCCGTTGCCGCTCAGCCGCAGGTCCTGCAGCCCGGTCAGGTTGGCGAACGCGTCCGCGTGGACGTACTGCAGCCGGTTCTCGTCGAGGAAGAACTGGTCGAGCAGAGCGAGGCCGACGCTGTGCGCCGCCTCGAAGCGCGCGATCCGGTTGTGCGAGAGCGCGAGCGAGCGCAGGTTGCCGAGGGCGCCGAAGCACTCGTCGGCCAGCGTGTCGATCTGGTTGTGCTCGAGGTTGAGCAGCTGCAGCTGCGCGAGTCCGCGGAACACGTGCGCGTCGACCTTGGTCAGCGCGTTGAACGACAGGTCCAGGAGCACCAGCCGCGCGAGCTTGGCGAAGGTGTCGCGGTTCACCCAGCGGCTCGTCAGCTCGTTCCTGCTCAGGTCCAGCGACTGCAGCTGGTCCAGGCCGTCCAGCAGGCCGGGCGCCAGCACCGACAGCGAGTTGTTGCTGAGGACCAGCTCGCGCAGCTCGCGGGTCTTGGCGAAGAGCTCGGGCGGCAGGGCGACCAGCCGGTTGCTCGACACGTTCAGCGAGCGCAGGCTGGCCAGCCCGCCGAGCGCGTGGTCGCCCACCGCGGCGATCGCGTTGTCCTGCAGCCGCAGCACGCCCAGGCCGCGCAGGGCGCTCAGCCCGTGGTCGGGCAGGGCGCTGAGGTCGTTGCCGCTCAGGTCCAGGCTCTCGAGGCCCTGCGCGCACGCGGTCGCCAGGTCGACGAAGCCGAGCGACGCCACGTCTTGTAACCTGTTGCTCGTGAGGTTGAGCGTCGCCAGGCCGGGCGACGGGCAGAGGAACTCGCCCGGCAGGCTCCACACGTTGTTGTCGCCCAGGTCGAGCTCCCTCAGCTCTGACAGGCCGCGCAGCGCGTCGCGGTGCAGCTCCATGGCGATGGACGTCCAGTCGCCGTTGTGCGAGCGCAGCGACAGCCGGCGCAGCTCCGGCGCGGCGGCGAACGCGCCGGCCGGCAGATTGCGGATCTTGCAGTGCTCGATGCGCAGCCGCTCCAGGCGCGGCAGTCCGCCGAGGAAGCTGCCGCCGGTGACCGTGCCGCTGCTGGCGTTCAGCGAGTCCTGCAGCTGGCTCTCGTAGAAGAGCGCCTCGTTGCACTCGAGGCTCAGCGCGCTGACGCTGTCGGCCTGCAAGCTCGACAGGTTGCCGAGGATGCTGACCGCAGTCGACATCGTTCGTAGCCGGCACACGAGGGTCTGCGCGTCCTCGTCCTCGTGGCGCCATGTGCAGCCGCGTGGCGCCTCCAGACTGCTGATACTGCGCGCTTCGCTGTTCGCGTTGCAGCAGCAGAGGAGTACGAGCGCCGCGACCCGCAGCAGCCAGCTTCTTCGTCTTCTCTTTAGCTCCATTGTGGCGAGAGATTCCGCGGCGCACCGCGAGTGAAGGGCCCTTCTCTCACTCTCTCTCTCTCTCACTCTGTGCACGATCGTCACGATCTCATCGTCACTCCTGCACGTGTTTCTCTCTCTCTCTCTTCTCCTTATTCTCGGAGCTTCGGTCCTTTGTAGTTTACCAGCTCACTCGCTAACACTCGCTTGGAAGCATTGAATCGGCGACGGCACTCGCGCACTGTTCCTTGCGTGAAAAGCCGATCTGTCGCGAGATCGGTGCTTATTCGTATCGAGTCACTCGCGCGTGCACTTCTCTTTTTTTGCAAAAACAATTCACAGTCTTGGGAAGGGCTGTCGAACGAGCGAAATCGAGAAAAGTCAGCGTGCGTGCTTGCGTGATAGGCAGCGTCGGGCTAGCAAGCGCGAGGTCGAGCGCACGTCTGTTCGGGACGAGCGTCGGCGTGCAACTGACTGTAGAGTCGCGCAAGTGAACCGAAGCCAGCTCCGAATTCACACTGCTATACGGAGTGGCGGCAGCAGCGGCGGCGACGGCGGCGGCGGCGGCGGCGGCAACGGTGGCGGCATGGGTTCTCTCTTTTCCCCACTTTCTCCGAACGGCAGCCTCCCCTTCGCAGCTAGTCAACGCTCTCCGTGTGTTGTGTGCTGTGCGCGCGCGCTCCTTGAATGCTAGGCTCTCTCTCTCTCTCTTCTGTCTGTTAGTTGCGTCTTCGCCGTATATCCGTCTCTGGTATAGTCTCGACCACCGCAAATTATCATCCCGCCACTGACCGCGCGCGAGCCGAGCCAGCGAAAGCCAGTCTTTTTCCCACTATACGCCCACGAATACCTGCCTGGCTGGCTGCCTGCCTGGCTTGCTGAACGCCAGCTATGACGATACAATAAACGAAGGGCTAGGAGAAGAATATCTTTCTAGCCTGCTCTCGTGGTTCAAAGTAAACTTTGCGCGCGGAGCTCAACTTCCGCTTCATTTGAATGCGCGCACAGTGCGTCGAGAGAGAGAGAGAGAGAGAGAGAGAGAGAGAGAGAGAGAGAGAGAGAGAGAGAGAGAGAGCCGCTACTCTCTTGTGCATTGTGCGCACCTTCCTCTTTGCTTCTTTTTTCTTCTCTGCTCGCGGAGTTAAGTGGAGTCAGTCGTGTATTAATGAGGATCGACAGGCTCGCGGAGATCGATTTTTTTTCGCTCGTTCCCTTTTCAACGCTACTCGGCCGAGCGAAACAATGGCTTTGTGCCTGCTTTAAATCAAATTATCATCGAGAGTTTTCTTTTGTGCGTATCGCGCATATGCGCGTCGAAGTCGATTTAGCGCGAGGGCTTTCTCAAAAAGAAAGAAAAGAAAGAAAGCTGTTTCCCGGGAAAATCCGCGTGTGGTCCCAGCGATCGACGAATCGAGCGGGCGCATGTACTCGGCAGTTCTCTCTCTAGTCGGGCAAAGACAAACGAAGAAACGAGTTGGAGCCAAGTTTGAGCGCCTTCTAGGCGAAACAAGATAAAGAATGAAAATTTTCGCTGTCTATGTTAAACACTGCCGCGAGAGTAGGTTGAGTACGTACATAGACGCTTACAAGCGCATATAGAAGCAAAGTTAATTTAAGTTTGCTCGAGATTATTATAAGCTTGCGAGTTGGCTGGCTAGCATTCTTTCGGCGCGCAGAACGCCAAATTGCTTCTAATTTTAATGAAAAGATAACAAACTAAAAATTTTACCGGCCCGCGCCGCGCTTGCCACATCGGTCATTCCAGCGTGCCGGTTAATGAGATTATATTGTGTTCGTAGGGACGGCATAGCTGATCCAGTTTTTTTCAATGCGCGAAAGTGAAAGCGACCTCGCGCGAGAGCGTCGCGCGTGCCTATTAGTCCCTGATAAATCGATTTTTAAATCATCTCTGTTGATCCTCCTCCTCTTGTAAGAAATGTTTAAAGATGTCGGTCCATTGTAATGGTTGTGTCGTAATCAATCGTAGATTTATAATCGGACGTGGTCTCCGCTTCGCCCTTTCTTTTTTTGCTCGGCAAGATAACTCCATAATGGGCCAATAAAGAATTATTATTTACTGCACTGGTTACGCAAGTGCATTGTATTCTACCAATTGTAAAAATTGTTATTAACTTGTAACTTTTATCGTCGCGATACTTTCGCTTTCAGTTATTTCTTTTCCTCTCTTAGATATATAAAACCGCGCGCACAGGCATAAATCGATGGAAAACCAACTATAAGCGTTGTAAAAATTTAGTGTTAATTTATACTTGCAGTAGCGTGAACAGCGTCCATTGGGTAACCAATGCGGATATTTTTATATTTGCGATTATCTCGTTATAGAATGGCATGCTCCCGCCATTGCTGTTCAACAGCGGTAACAGTCAAGTGCCAGTGTAAATCGCTTTTGTTCTAAATATTTTAATGGAAAACGATGATTTCCTTTTTTTACGTCATTGTCGACGAAAGAGAGAAAAAGCGGTGTAACAATGCAGCATCGCCGTCGCTGTCTCTGAAATAGAAATGATATTTATGCAACATCCTAATGGCGTGACATTTATTCAGACAATAGATATTGAAACGACGCAACGGCTGATGGATGCATTTGTGACATTGGATGATACAAAACGAACGCGAGTAATTCTTTTTTCCGTCGCTTCATAATAAATCCATTGGCGGCGAAAGAATGCACAATGGGCATTAATAATCTTTTGCACGAAAAAAAGCAATTTGGCAACGCTGTACACGAGAACAATCGGGAAATAAAAAGAAAAAAAGAAAAAAACTAGTGCAATAATGCTAAACTCAGCGACCTCTATCATAACTGCTATAATCGAAAATCCGAACATCAGCGGTAGCAGCAGCAGTAGACTGTACGGAGAGGACGGAGAGTATCCTACATGGCGGTGGGCCGTTCGCCGAACTCATGTTTATTTACCGGCAAAAACAGGGGCGCTTGGTTTTATTTGGCGAAGAGAGAGAGAGAGAGAGAGAGAGTCATATCCCCGAAGCTTGAACAAAAGGCACTACAAGAGAACTTGTGAATTTTTAAAGACACATACGCGGGGCAGCCATACAACGTCTGCGTGTGCGCGCGCGTTGCGGGCTGTCATCGAGCGCGCGGGAAAAAAGGCGGGGCGTGCGCGCAAGACCGCCCTGCCCAGCGCGTACGCGGCACGCACAACGGAGCGAGAGAGAGAGAGAGAGAGAGAGAGAGAGAGAGAGAGAGAGAGAGAGAGCGAAACGGCGAGAAAAGGGCAAGTATAGCGTGACTCGCGCACGGCTACCCCGTGGTAGTCGCGGCAACGAGCGAGGCTCATTTGAGTGCGCGCGCGTGAGCAGCTGGACTTTCTCTGCCTAAGCTCGGCTGGTCGCTGCGCGAGGCGTGAGAGATCGGTTTTTAAGAGGCTGTCGTTAATTGAGCGCGCCGAGCGTGATTCATGCTTTACGAGCATCCGAGAGCGCGACCTTACCAAATTGCTCCCCTATCTAGCCTTCACTTTTCATTACCGTTTATTTAAATTAACCTGCATTTTCAGTGGTCGCGCCTTCGAGTAGTTTAATTCGCTTTGTTTTATCGATCGACAGTGGCTGCTGCTGTTGCTGCTGCCGCCGCCACCGCCGCCGAGAGATTCCGAGAAATTATTGCTCGTTGTTCTCCCCCCTTTTTTTCAAGGTAAACGTTTGTCGCATGCGAGAGAACGCATTTAAGAATAATTTCTTCATTATCAGCGTTCTCGGTAAACGCAGAAAGGAACCCGATTATGCCGTGAGCTTATTAGCATATTCAATCTTGATCTTAAAAAAGGAAAATTACTTAGAGAGTTAATTAATGCTTGGCGAGCCTTTGAAAAAGTGCTTTGGAGAGTGCATTGGCTGACCCACACGGCAACGCACGTTTTCCGATAAACAACGCGCTTTTCGCGTGCCAATTACGCGGTATACATCGGCGAGTTATGCCCGTGCCGACTTTGAGGCGGAAGAGCGCGAGGCGAGCCCAACTGTCGAGAGGTTGGTGCTCGCTCTTCTTCTGCTCACACGGTTAACGCTGAAAATTTGCCCATAATTTTGAGAGGCTCTCGCTTTATGCATGTATACAAAACGCTGCTGCAGCCGGAGCCGCGCGATCGCGGCGCAGTCACGAGAGATGTTATTTATTTATGCATGCCGCTCCGCCGCACTCTATTGCGGTTTTTCAAACTTTGATTTCTCGCGGTTCGCAGTCCTGCCGCTGCCAGAACGAATCCTCGGGCACCGTGGGAATGCCATACTACCTTTACCAGCGCGCCTCTGCTAATTAATCGCCGCCGATTTCCTCTTTTTCAACGATCGAAATACTTTTTAACGGCCTACTCAAATTTCGTACGGCAGTCCAGCAAAGCATTTTCAAGGCATGCAGCATTGATTAATTACGCGATCACTACGAGTAGTGGGTATCCGTTTCCATTGAAAAATTACATGGGTCTAGCTATTCTAATTCCTCCCACCGGAAAAATACTAGTAGTTAACGACGCATCTCGTTATCCTGTAACGTTCCATATGAGTAACATTCGCGTTTCATCGTATCGTTTGAAAGTACATTGAAAGCGGACCAAGCATAAAAAGAAACGACGAGAAGGCAAGCTCGTTATTCTAATTTTCAGCTGAACGACCGTTGCCCTTGTGACGCAGGCGCGCGTTTGGGCGCGATTATGCAACGCTAAACGGCGCATACGAAGAGCCAACAGTTTTTCACTTGTCAGCAACGTGTAATATTCTGGCCGCTCGAGCATCATCAGTATAAGAGCCGTTGCATCAAAGAGAGAGAGGGAATATATAATTTACGTGGTGAAAAATGAAAATCGAAATCTCGCCGCGAGATCTCTCTCTACAAACACGCCTGCTTATCGAGGACGATTCAGCGCCTTCAATAGACAGTGGTTGCACCGTGATGTTTACGGAGATCGTCAGCGTATAAAAATGAATGTAAAGAAGCGCAGATGGATGACTCTCTCGCATATTCAATTTTATTTATTTTAGGAATACCAAAGATGACTCTTCACTCGTCTATACGAGAATGATTTACAGTTGGAGAGAAAGAGAGAGAGAGAGAGAGAGAGAGAGAGAGAGGCAAAAAAGAAAAAACAATGGGGCATTAATCAATCGCGCCGAGGTTGGTTTTCGTCAGGTGTCTGATTGCCACGAGCGTGAGCTTGGTGATTTTTGAATATTCATTGCTCGGCGGAAAATGCAGAGAGGAGCATCCGTTGTCCGGTGAGTAACCGGGGGGAGAGAAACAACTGAAATAAAGGAGCCGTCGCCGATAAATCGGCACACCGCAAGAATAGAGTCCCTGTCAGCGAGGTCAATGTTACCGGGCTAACTGTATACTTCTCTCCGTTCTCGGCTGCTGTCTCTTCTTTTTCCGCTGCTGCTGCACGGCGTCGTTGTCTCTTGGCTC